TCTGCTCGGCCGCTTCCTTCTCGGCAGCCTTTTTCTCCCTTAGTGTCATCTTCGCCTTTTGCATCTCCATGTAGCCGCTTAGTCGGTGATCCGAAGAAGATGACGAGGACGAACAGGATACGCCTCGGAGTAATCTCAACGCCTTCTCAACCCTTTTAAGCGTGAAATGTTTGGTCCAGTTACACTTCCGCGAAGCTAACTCCTCGTGAATTTCTAGAAGATCTTCGGGGATAAGCTCGAGGAACGCCGGGTTACGATCTGAAAACGAAAACAAAACCGGTTAGAATAAATCGATCAAATCGCAAAGAAAAAAAAAAAAAAAAAAAAAAAAAAAAAAAAAAAAAACGCCTCGGGTAAACTACCGATTGTGCCCCATTTCGCAACAATTTTATCAAGGCATCCCTCGGGGACGGAGTCCTCGTCAATCGCGACGAAGAAGAAATGATCGGTGTATTTCTCGTCCTTGCTCGGGAACCCGCCAATGATCTTTTTATTTTTGCTCGGCGAGATGTAGTACCTTTCCAGAGGACCCGGGCTACGACGAACCTCCAGGAAATTCCTTAGATGCCCGAGGGACAAAACTTTATCCGCCTCGAAACTCCTAACTAAAATCCCGATTAGATGCCGTAGTCCGCGGGTTGAGATCTGGGCCAACGCAATCTTGTACGACCACAAATACTCAACAATCAGCCTCGGGAGAGGGAACCACAGGAAACAAAAACTGAAAAATCCCTCGTACAGCGTGAAGAACCCCTCGGGAGGATTATCGGCTCGTTCACTCGGAGTCGGAAGCCTCATCGTGACTCCTTCGCTGAAACCAAACCGAGCTCTTAATTCTCTGAGGGAGTCCTCGGTGGATAGCGTAGAACCAGGGGGATCGGGCCTTTTTACTTTTCTGGCTCGCTTCGTCTTCAGCTGCAGAGCCTTAGCCGCCTGCATCCTGGCCTGAAGTATTCTCGCCTCGGCATCAGAATCATAGGAAATCGCCTCGGCCTTTACAGGGAGCGAAGACGGCTCGGGCGCCTTTTGCCAACAAGAGCCCCCAGCTTCGTCCTTAGACGGAGGATGCGCCCTCCCCGTAATTAAAGTTGCCTCGGGATCATCAGGAAGATCCTCATCCCGAGCCACATTCGCTACTGTATCTTCCCGAGCCAAGAATCGGCTCGGATCTTGGTCCATAGGTGACAACCTTGATTCACTATCGCCTTTCCGCTCGGAGCAATTTGAAAAACTAGCCTCAGCTCCTTCCGAGGGACTGCTCCAGACAATTTTCCTTTCGTGAACAGGAATGCTTCTGCCTCGGGACGAATCGCTCGAATCAGAGAGTGACATCTTCGGCTCGGGTGAATTGAAAAGAATCGGAAAAACAAGATTCGAAATCGGAAAAACCAAATCTAAGATCTGGTACGGCGGAGGGATAACGGGAAATAAAGCAAAGCAAGAGGAAATTAAAGAGATCAAGATCAGAGAGAAAAGAAGCGAACCTTAGAAATTTTCCTTGCAGATTGCGAAATGAGAAGATGAAGCAAGAGTCGGATATTTATAGATTGCTTCGGCGCGTCGGGTACACACCAGTTAAATAATGTTTCGCATCCGCCCAAATCTCGGGCGCGTCGGGAGCGCGTGACCAACACTAAATTACTTCGCATCCGCACGGGTCTCGGGAATCAGCAGAAGACTCTTCCACTTCTCGAGGTAGAATCTCAACCGTCACACGCGTTAGGAGAAGATGAAGCGTCGAAGAGAATTGAATCATCAAGAACACTAATTACCGAATGACACTTCGCGAAATTTTCAAAGGATGGGCTCGGAACAAGGTTTAAAACGGCTCGGATTAACAGTCGTGAAGCTCATCGGTCGCTCTTCGAACCAACGAGCTGGGGGGCTAACTGTTGGGGTCGGATTTCATCCCATAGCACCGAGCCGAACTCCAAACGCCTCAGGGAATTTCTGAAGACACCTCGGTGGAAACTGCCGTTCACCTCGGGTCGAACTGCCATTCACCTCGGGTCGGACTATCATTCACCTCGGGTCAGATTGCCACTCGCCTCGGGTCATCGCATCAATCACCTCGGGGGACACCCATAGTCTGCTCGGGGTCTGTCAGCAGGCTCACGAACCCGAGCCGGCTCCCTTCAAGTGCCCGAGCCGGTTCACTTCGGGAAACCGAGCCGGTTTGTGTCGAGACCCCCGAGCTGGATCTTTCCGTGAACCCGAGCCGCTTTCCTCGGGAGCCTAGGCCACGCCTCTCTTGTCCCCGAGCCGGTTGCATAAGTTCTCCGAGGCGAAGCCTTCATCATCGCCCGAAGCAAAGACTTAGTAAATATTCTTCTCTAAAGGTATCATTTCCAAGCAAGTTATCATTTCCGAAAAAGAAGGATCATTTCCGATAAACTCGGAAATGATAAGGAAGAATCGCGAAGGATCAACTCAAATCAGGAAATCTTCCGAAAACTCCGAAGAATAAGGAAATTGTCCTAAATCCGCGATATTCTGGCCGACTTCAAGATAAATGGAAATCTTCCGAGAATATCGCTGGAGAGGCGGTTCATCATCCCTATATAAAGAGATTCAAGGCTCAAACGAAGGGCAAGAAAGATCGCTCTGGAAATTAAACTACGCAAAGCTCTCACAGCACAAACACTTTTTCTTTTACGATCAAACTCTTGTACGATCAAAATCATCTTTTCATTAATAATATCAAGAACACCATCTTTGGTATCAATCGTTTCTGTTGTTCTTTGAGAATTCACGTTTATCGTATCCCTAAAATAAAACCCTAGACAAATCTTGATTGTGTTAGTTTCGACTTCCACATGAGCCAAGCACTGAAGGGAACTGTTCAGGAAACAGGTATTTCCTAGATTCTGCAAGCCTGTCAGCCCCAAAGTTCCAGCTTCTCCATCTTTTCCCAAAAAGCTCAAAGAATTACTCCCTCCAACTCTGAAAAAATTGTGCTACCATTAATATGCCATTGAATAGGAACATAAAAAGTGTACAGCTTGTTTGCAATGTTAATCTCATTCTTACTCTTCTAAATCTTCGAAATACTCTTCCTTCGGACCTGCATTTATGGTCCGGTAGGATCCACCTTCGCATAACCTATAAAAATCCCAAGAAGCTCTTGCTTCAAGATCCAGCAACGCTTGTCGGTTGTCATTGGCGACTAATATAACAAAGCCTCTACGTGCCAGTTCCGCCATCAGAATTGAAAAATCTTGATCACCAGTAAAGAAAAGGATATTGCCGGGAGGTCGGAAGTCAAGCGCGTGCAACAACACCGCAAGTAGGATCCTCATATCTGCCGCGTCTGGCTTTCCTGGAAATAAAAAAAAAAGAATGGTTAGTGTTACTGCTGCAACGAAAGCATTATATAGAATTCTCCTTGAAGGGCAATTGCTACATACTCTTAAACGGTTCAGGAAGAATTGCACAAAACGGATAAGAAGGGAGCTCTGAAATAAATCTTATCTTCACACAGCATTGCTCATTACTGCAAACAAAAACGAATGTCAAAACATAGAAAAGGAATTAAAAAATGAACTCAAAAATTTGAAATTTGCACCTGTTTTCAAAGAAAAAGCAGAACTGCATTCTCTTCTTTGGCAGTTGTCTAGTAGTATAGAGGTTACTTCCAATGACATCGTAAATATACTCATGGGATATCAATTTAGTTTCCTCTAATCTTATTCTTCTACCACCAGTAGGATTACTAGAGCCTTTAAATGTGATGTGAACCTACAACGCAAAATATTTCAACAAATTAGAATGAGTAGATCTTGGTAAAAGATATGATATTTCTGAACACGTGAGGGACATGTGGAAGAATAAGTATGATTTCGAAGGGATAGGTGGGAAAATATGACTCATACCTTGTAATGGAAAACTTTTGATTTTGGATGGACAGGTGGATAAGCTACTCGTCTCCCACCACTTTTTTTTATTTTTATTCTTCTTTGAGCTTTTAGTCTCCGTCTCTCTTGGAGGAATATGAATGATTTCGATGTTTAACTTCTTTAACTTGGTGAACACGTTTGGATCAATAAACTTGGTATCTCCATAAGCAAATACCCTTAGAATGAAGTATCTGCTTCTTAAGGTTCTCAATCCTGCTAATATTCTATCAAGAAATAGCTCAGCCTCCTGATATGCTCCTCTATAGGCTTGATTCTCAAAATCCCATCCAATTATCACACCGAATTCTCTTTCTTCATCAGTGGGTTCTAGCTGTTTCTTTCTATGGAAATCTGAAAAATTCCTAAGAGGTGATAGAGAAATGGGAATTTCTGCAAATGTAAGGATTTTATTAATAGGTTAGTGAAACTTTTTATGAATAAAATATTTATCTAAACAAGCTTTGCATCAGTTTATTCATATTTTGACATTTAAGTAACAAGCTTTGCATCAGTTTATTCATAATATCAATAAAATATTTAACTAACCTATTTAAATATGAACCGGTTAAGCAAAGAAGAATAACACACTTACTTGTTCTGTTCGAATCGGGTGTAAGAACAATACGTGGAGGTTCCGGTGTACTTTTCTTGTTTATCTTGTATTTCCCATGCGTGATGGTAAGCTTACGCTGAAAACATTAAAAAAAATACTATTAGAAACAAGATAATGGAACTACAATCACAACATAAATAATAATTAAAAACTTTACCTCCTTTTGAATCGAAAACAAGATAGTAAGGACAGGGGAAACAAGAACACAATACTGCAAACAAATTAATAAGAACTGTTATCATAAGCTTTTCAATGAAAAAGTAGTACTACAAAATGAAAACAAATAACAAAATTACCTCGACTGGAATGTAGAGTTGATGATCCTTCTGGGAAACCATTATACAGAAGGACTTTGGTGAAAGTTTCACGGCATCTTTTCGGAGACTGTAGTACTCGAAGACGGTTGTCTCTACTACCTCGGATCCCTTTCCCTTTCCTTTTCCTTTTCCCTTTCCCTTTCCTTTTCCCTTTCCTTCCATTATGATCCTAAATCAAACAAATAAATAACCTTATAGCAAACTCAGAGAATAACCATATAACAAACTCGGAGAATTTAGCAAAGAATGTTAAAATATTTGACATACTTTTGATTCTCGCAAGTATCTTCACTTAATCCACAGATCGTGTACACTCGATTATGGTCTGAAGTTACCCGAACTTCCAAACCTTTTAGAACCACTTCAACCTGATGAGAAAAGTAATATGATTAATACTCAAAATACTAAAAGTTTTATAAGCATAAAATTTTATCTTTTACCTTGTGCCAATCAACTTCAGATATCCCTGAAGCACTTTGGATTGTGAGAATGAAATCGATTATAGGATAGAGGGGAAAACAGACCTGCAAAAACCAGAGATAATTTTCATATTATGTGCATGAAAATGTGGCAAGTCAATCTAAAAATCATTCTGAAAATCATTTAAATTACCTCAATCGGTAAGTAAATCGGGTGGTTAGAGCCGCCAGCACGTAGACAAGGATAATCACCTGAATATTCCAGGTTAATTCCCAACACTTCAGTGAAATATTTATACACTGTGATCTCAACCTCCTCGGATTCCCCGTTTCCGTTCGTAGACTTTCTAATAAACCTAAATACAGCAAAGAAATATATCTTATTATAATGAACTCACAGAAGTATATAAACATAAGAGGCATTTCTTTGTATAGGAGTTATGTAAATAATAATAAGTTAAGGATCTTGATGTAATTTCCTTAACCCTAATCTACTTAGCCTCTGTATAAATACTTGTGTAATTCTTTACCTAATGAATAAGATTAATACAAACCTTATAATTTGTTCATACCTTTGTTCATTGCAATGATCTTTAGTTAGACCAAATACCGTGTACACTTTATCATCGTGTAACGTCTGGATTTTCCGGTTTTTAAGAGTGTGTTCAGCCTTCTTCCAGTCAAGTTCACCAGCTGAAGGATTCAAGGATAATATCCCATCAGCCGCTGCTTCTTCAACAGCTTCTACTTTCGTAATGGTACCCAAAGGCCATGGCTTCCCGCAACCAGAGCAAAGATTAACATCCTGCAGTTTTTATGCGATCAGAAAGTATAAAATACTATTGGGGTTGACAAAAATCTAAACAACCTATGCGTACCTTTGGAGATGACAAGTCTCTCAGGCAGTACATGTGTATCCGGACAGTGCAACCTTCGTTAGGACACAAATCCGCCTGGAAACAAGAGTTAGAAAACAAAGCATCAGCAAGTATTATCATCACAGTGTGAATAGTAATTCCTATCAGGTTTCTTCAGAATGCAGACCTTTACTCCAAATTCATTGCAGACCTCGCAGGAAGGAATATCATTGTTCTTGAACCAACTGCGCAGATCAAGAAGAGTTCTTATACCAAGTCCGATGTTTCCCTCATTTGGGTGGCACAGCCATTTGTCCCTAACAAGTTCTTTGAGTGTTTCCTCTTTTTGCGACATTGAAAAGTTCAGGAATGCAGGAGGGACTTGCTGTTGATTGCTGCTGGCTTCACTTGGTAACTGGGATATTAACACAAGATCTCTCAGCCGTAACAAAGAGACTAAATTTGTATAGTTCAACCAGATGACTGAATACTTATAATTTGGCCAGAGAGGAATAGGTATTTGTTACCAAAGAGACAAAAAACAAAGAGAATGCTAAGAAATTTGAGATTCATTTTTTCATTATAATCCAACAATCATAAACAGTGGTGATAGATTTTATATGATACAACACACGAAGAGTATAACTCAAGAGTGCATGATTATCTGACTAAGAAACCCAAAAGCGACAAAGTTATTTATTGTTTCAGATTATGTCTCCTACAGAAGTGAAAATCTCAAGCGACTATGTAAGATAGTAGCAATTTTGAAGTCACTATGATAAAAAAAAAAAATAGGGATATGGATGGTTTCTTTTGCCAATAGATGAAGAGGTAAATATACATAAGGCAGGGACTATGACTGACCTGATTCTCGAATCGGATATTGAGAGCATCAAAGCTCGATATGCAACCTTGAGCAGGTTCAGCCTGTGCAATTTCTTCTATCTGCCACAAGTTAAAGTCATCAGTGTGATGAATAAGTACCACAAATATCCACTTTACACAACCCGTAATCATCTAAGTGCACACATAGCAAGCATAAGGAATGAAAAAGCAGATAACGTGATAAAACATGTAGCAAGAGACAAATCCAAATACTGATAAATCAAATCACACATATGAATCGAACTTTTACTTTCTAATCTAAACTCTTTATAAAGAAGACAAAGAACTTTGATCAACAAGGTACAGAAATAACTGCAAGCGTGACTTACAATGCCTTTAAAGAATGCAATCTGACGAACAGAATATTTTGTCCCAAGTTTTGATTGCGCTTCTATCTGCCACAAGTCATCAATATGATGAATAAGTACCACAAATATCCACTCTAGAAAACCCATAATCATCTGAATGAACATATAGCAAGAATAGGGAATGAAAAAGCAGATAATGTGATAAAACTTGTAGTTTGAGACAAATCCAAATACTTATAACTCTCATCACACATATGAATCAAACATTTACTTTCTAATCTAAAATCCTTATAAAGAAGATAAAGAAATTTGATCAACAAGGTACAGAAATAACTACAAGCGTGACATACAATGCCTTTAAAGAATGCAATCTGAGGAACCGAATCTTTTGTCCCGAGATTGGATTGCTCATCAGATACATTGTTAACCACTCCATAACAAACTTGGCCATCGTACTGATCTCTACAAGATCTCAACTCAGAGTGAACATATGACAGTTCCGTGTTTATCTCACGAAGGAACTCAGAGTCAAATATGTTTTTAGCAACTCCTGCAACAAAAAGAACAAAAAATATCTATTCATGTCCTCGAATTGTTCAGCCATTGTTCAATGGATTTGCATTCGAAAAGAAAAAAAGTCTACAATAAACCTATCAATCAGCACTCATCAGCATAACGAAAACGTAAAAATAGCTCTGAATCACAGTATGACAATATTCAAACAAACCGTACACAGGGAAAGACGCCAATTACGACGAAGCAACAGATTTTGTAAGAACAGAGAACGTTACTTAAATCTTCATCACAAGCGAGAAAGGAAGATCAAAAAGCGGGGAGAAAATCATAGGAGAGACCAACCGACCTAGGTTTCTGCCGATGGCGCTGGTTAAGATTGAAGCAAATTCTGTCTCCTTGAGAGGACCGAGTGAAATCAAAGCATCGAGTAGCGTCTGGTGCTCCCGAGATAGCGGTGCCATCTTCAGGCGCCCCACCTCCTCCCTCTGCGATTTCGCCCTTGCAAAATGTTAGGGTTTAAGAAGGGGAAAGAAGCTCTGTCAAAGGGAGAGATGGCGGGAAGGGGAAATCAAGTCGACGACGTCACACCGAGCCGTGTTAATGTTATTCGTTTTTGATTTAAATGGTATCTTATAATGACTTTAAATAATATGTAGAATCTCTTGGAAAAAAAATATATATATATAGAATCTCTGGTTATTTATTTGAGATTTTATTAAATTTGGTTAAAGCTTGGTGTTATTAGTTTTTTATAGGTGAAAATCACACTTAAGATACTAAAGGTTATTGTGGATTAAAATATTAAGAGAAATGGATTATACTAGATTTTAACCCGCGGTACACCGCGGGTCGACTTTTTAACTAAAAAGTTTTAAATTTTAAGTTGTAATTATTTTGTTAATATTATTTGTTTTGTTTAGTGTTTAAGATTATATATTGAATTTTGATTATTATTTCTAGGATTTTAACCCGTGGTATATCTTCCGGTATTATTATCGATCTAAACCCGTCCCACCATATAACCCCGTCCCGTGAAATTAAACATCATTTTTTTTAATAACACATTTGTTTAGAAAACATATAATTCGAGTCAATTTAAAAGTTTGCTTTTAAGTGGTTCCATAGTATAAATATTTATAATTTTTATAGTGTTCAAATATTATTAATATTATAAACTTTTTATGGAATTAAATATTATAGATACTTTAAATATTATTAATTTATACTTCTTATAAGGTTAAAATATTTATAATATTTGAAACCTTATAAATAATAATAATCTAAAGCAACATATTATTCTTTAGACATAAATAATCTTTATATATTTGGTAATAATTTTTTGGGGGTTAATCTAATTTATAAATAAACATTATTTATTGCCAAAATGAGTTTGGTTTAAAATAAGTAATATAGCCAAATGAGTTTGTCAAATAACGAATAGTAACCATAATTTAACTAATCTACATTAAAATAAATATATTTAGAAAATGATTTACTCAAAAAATTGATAAATATAGATTAATCTATAAAGGTTATTTTATCACATGATTTTTTCATTTGATGGTAAACCACTAAATATTTTTTAGTAAACAAACCAAAGAAAATTTTCAAATCAATACTAAGAGCATCTCCAAATCAATATTAAGAAGCTACAAGGATTATGGTTAACCCTGCAAATATTTTCACACTCAAACATGAACCAATATACCAAAACAATAAAAATCAGAATCATTTCCTCATTTGTCCAAACACAAAAATATGTAGATTAAGGTAACGTAGAAGGACCAGTTTCCGAATACACTGGGAAGCTCCTCAATTCAACGTGAGGCTATCAAACATAAAGCCATAGAAAGATGAAAGTGAGTGATTTATCAAAAAAAAAAAGGAGATGTAAGTGATTCAAATCAAAGAAGAATAGGAAGAACCTTAGTCCAAGACATGTAGAAAATGAAGCAAATGATTTGCAGAGCTGAGGGACGGCGAGAGTGGAACCATGCACATTGATTTGATGACTAAATAACCTCACTTATATATAGAGAATAAGTAGTCCATTGATTTAGGTCTTGTTATGATACAATATTAACAAAAAAAAAAGATTTGATGAGTAATTGTTATCTTTAAGTTATATATTTACGTAATTATTTTCCTAAAAAGTCTACAACAGTTATTAGGTTCTGTAATTGTTTTAGGAAATTATTTATTTTGCAATACATTTGTCGTTAGAAAGTTTTTAAAATAAAAGGAAATTATTGTTTTTATTTATTATTGCAATTAATGATGGATCTTTAATTATGAGAAATCATACCAAATATATTTGAAGATTACAGTAAATCACGGAATAGTTATTATCGAGATTTTTAAAGTAATTAGTTGGAGGAGATTTGAGGAACGATCTTTAGAATAATATCTTTAATTAATTTTTTTAAATCTTAAGAATTAACTCCAATGGCATTGTTTGTAAATACATTTCAACTCCAGGATTTATTTGCTAAAAGTCATCCAAAAATGTATATATAATATATAGATTCAGCTTTTAAGATTTATAGTCGTCTCGTCAAAGAGGAAAAAATATATTTCTAAAGAATAACCTAAAACTATTGATCCTAAAACTATTGGTTTGTGTTTGGATTCGTTAGTGAACCCCAATCGAACCAAATTATGAAGCATTCCTTAGATATGATTGATCATTTATTATTATTCATACATAAATTGAAAATGAGTAAATATACCAAATTTTTAGTTCGGTTTGGTCTAATACAATATTAGCAAAAATTAAAATATAATAAAAAATATTGAAAAGAGTACTAGTGAATGTTATATACTTAAATGTTATGAGTAATAGTAATATAATGATCATTTATATGTAAAACAACCTATCTAAAACCGAATGTGTATGTTTTCTTAAATAACATGAATTATATATGCAGACATTTTAGTAAATATCATGTTATTATAATCGATGACATGCTATTATTTCTATAATATCACATTTTTTGTTCAAATTACACTTGAAAAAAAATACATCCCTCATTTGTTTACCATTTTTTATTCTCTAGCTACAATCATTTTTTTCTTTTTGTTGGGTCAATTTTAGTTTCATATCTTATCATCTAGCAAAGACGGTTTACATGTATTGGACTATATGATGGACAATGCTGCCAATCGGAATCAAAATTCAAAATCAAATAACTTTCTAGAACGAAATATAACTTTTGGAGTAAAAAACAATTATAAACTTCAAGTGCGTCAAAACACCCAACATGTGACATTTTACTATTTTTTTTTTTGGTGAGCTGTGACATTTTACTATTTGAGATATAATCTCAAGACGTTGGCAAAAAAATAAGTGTAATCATAAACGGGAAAAATGTCATTTAAATCGTCACTTTGCCATTTGTAGAGGTTTAAAGCATGAATTTTGAGTCTGGTGCTTTTAATCCTCAATTTCTAGTTGATTTTCAATTTAATCTCTAACTTTCGTTGACGAAGCCGATTGAGGCACGTCTTTAACTTGACAAACGGAGGATTAAGACGCTGTTATCTGTCCGTCTAATATATCCGTTAATAAGCGAAACGACGTCGTTTAATCAAATGAAAACTCCCAAATTCGATTAAGCTCGAACCCTAGAATACCAAACCGAAATTAGAAATACAAAATCGAAGATTCTCTCTCGTTTTCTTCTCTAATCTCGATTTCTTCTCAAATCTCGATCTCATCTTTATTCCTCAAGATCTGTTGTCTCGATTCCGATGAGTTCTAGCTCCGAGACATCGATAGTACTCGCTGCCTGTGAAGTGCCTTCAAAGTGTGTGTGTGGGTTAGGTGTAAGGATCTTTACATCGAAAACTCAACATAGCTATCTTGAAGTCTTGATTAGAGAAGAAAACGAGAGAGAATCTTCGATTTTGTATTTCTAATTTCGATTAGGTATTCTAGGGTTCGAGCTTAATCGAATTTGGGGGTTTTCATTTGATTAAACGACATCGTTTAGCTTATTAACGGATATATTAGACGGACAGATAACAGCTTCTTAATC